AGATTCTCTGAAAATTTAAAATTCCAAGTAGAATTCATTAATAAAAATCTGAAATGCTTTTTCTTGTATAAATCATAACAAAGTGTTGAGAGATAAAGGAAGAACTAAGACCAGCAAATAATCCTCTGCTGCTCCAAAACTGAAACCTGTCATTTCAACTCCCAACTCAAACACTTAGTTTTAAAGATTTACCTTCAACCTTAAAAGCTGGTATCCGGCCTCATTGGCAACAGCCTCAAACTGTTCCCTGTCATCGAAGAAAACAAATCTTTTGCTCGTTTCTGCCTAGGGGAGGCAGAGGGACTGAGGTGGTCCTGTGTGGCTGAATTAGATGAAAGACTTGCCTTCCACCATGGAGACATGGAGTCTAATCAAGTGAAATGAGTTTTGAGATCCCAGCTCATTTCCTAGGGGAGATCAGTTCACGTTACAAAATCACGACATCTCATTCATCACAACTGACGTGGTCTTTGCTCAGGAGAGGACCTCAGCTGGGACTAAACCACCTGTCTTCTCTCAAAAAGGGGCACTTTATCCAAGTTAGAGTTGAAAGCCTTGGAGTGAGAAAGCGTGCCAGCCACCAGCTTCTATCCATGTGATACATGTGCAACGTGGACGGGAACTTAGGTTTACAAAAGGAAAGACGAGTTTAAGGAAGATCGGTGGTTGTACTTCTACTGATGCCAAATACAAATAATTGTAATGGGGATGCTAAGGCATGATGGGAGGGAGAGCCACAAGATTGGGGCTCCCTCTTCTTTATCTCCTAGATTTTATTAAACTAAAGCGAGAAGGATAAGCATTTCCATGCCTCACAGTTTAAAATGGCAAAGGAAATATCCTGATTTCCAGGCCGATAAATGATCATCATCTCTTTTGTTTCTTTCAGGGCATCGTTATAACACCCCTGCTACTGCTGCTTTTTGTGAGTATTTGGATGTTGTCTTTAATATTCTTTATTAAAAGCTGTATACACCCCTTTAAAAGGGGTCATTAGAGTAAAATTGAAATTTGAATTTTTTGCACCACATTTTGAACTGTTCTATTGAAGCTGTGCCAAGTAATAACACTCAGACACAAAGCAGCTTCACAGTCTTGTGATCCAAGAACACCATCGGGACCCAGTTATTAGGCCTCAAACTCCTGGCTAAATTATTAGCTATTATAAATTAATAACCTGTGACACAGGTCATAAATGTGCTGTTCTTTATTTTCTCATTAGTAAAAACTAAAGTGATTGGTGGTGACCCAGTGTTTGACAGTGTTTGACAGAAAGAGCCTTGGAGCAGGGAAACGGGAAGTCTGGGTTCCGAGGCTGATCCTGATAGTAGCCAGTTTCTCACCTTGTGGAAGGCTGCCTCAATGTGTTCATCTGTAGAATGGAGATGAATTAACACCTATTCCATTCTGTCTCCAAGGGATAATGAAATGTGCTTTAGAAATAAAACATACAAGTAGATACAAGCTCCTGGTTAACTAAACAAAAATTGTTCTGAAAACAAAAAATGCTAATTAACTATCTCATTTCTTTTGGCACTAAGCATGTGAGAAATTAGATGAAAGACTATAATAGAAATTAATGTTATCTCATGCTGAGCAAAGCATATGTAATCATGAATGATACCTAAAATATTTTATGAACTGTGCATTTTTTCATACACAAATCTTCCAAATATAAATCACTCTACTTCTCACTGAAATGTAGTGGGGATGTGTTTCTGGGAGTATAATGTAGCTGTTTGAGTAGCACCATTTATCAGT